TGGAACTCACTGCCATAAGGAGGCAGTGATGGCCACCAACTTGGATGAGACAAAGGGAGTAGCTTAAGCTGCCAACTCTGAAGCAAGCTAGATAGGCCAATCTGGCAGACACAGCTTTATTTCTATGTGTCTGCAATGTTCACACAAATAGCATGAAGAGGGCCAGGGGAGGTCTTCCTTTAACAGTAGAATATAAGAAGTTGCCTTACACTAAGACTGATCATTTGGCTCATCTAGCTCAGTTAGGTAAAAGGGAAAGGGAAAGGACCCTCTGGATGGTTAAGTCCAGTCAAAGGCGACCATGGGGTTGTGGCGCTTATCTCACTTTCAGGACGAGGGAGCCAGCATTTGTCCACAGACAGCTTTCTGGGTCATGTGGCCAGAATGACTAAACCACTTCTGCACCAAGGGAACACTCTAACAGAATCCAGAGTGCACGGAAACGCCGTTTACCTTCCCGCTGCAGCAGTACCTATTTATCTACTCCATGGGTAGGCAAACTAAGGCCCGGGGGCTGGATCCGGCCCAGTTGCCTTCTGGATCCAGCCCGTGGATGGTCCAGGAATCACCGCGTGGATCGGTGTGGAGCTGATTGTTCAGGCTGTGCCAGCATGCGCGTTCAGCAGCGCCTCCTTCCTCCCTCATCTTGGCTTCTCCCTGCCCTACCTAGAGCCAAGAGGAAGGGGACTGTTCTTTGCTGGTGCCAGCAGCAGCAGCAGCGTTAGCACTCAAGCGGCTGCCATTGTAAGCAGGCTCAATTTGGGCTTTGTTGCTGCCAGCCCCTCTCCGGAGCCCTTTCGCGTGCTGCTCATCGTCCCCCTGCCGCCAGCCCCTGCCGCTCACAAGACACAGGTAAGCAGCCACCGGGGCTCATCCAGTGCTGTGGAGAAGGGAGGGGAGAGTCGTGGGGGGGGATGGCTTACCTGAGTAGAATGTATCCTATTATTTTAAATGCATCTCTGGGTTATTTGTGGGAATTTGTTCATTCCCCCCCAATATATATATATATATATATATTCTGGCCCCCCACAAGGTCTGAGGGACAGTGGACCGGCCCCCTGCTGAAAAAGTTTGCCAACCCCTGATCTACTTGCACTGGCATGCTTTCGAACTGCTAGGTTGGCAGAAGCTGGGACAGAGCAACAGGTGCTCACCCCGTCACACAAATTCGAACCGCTGACCTTCCGAACAGCAAGCCCAAGAGGCTTAGTGGTTTAGACCACAGTGCCACCTGCTCCCCTTCTAGCTCAGTACTGTCTATAGACCAATTAGTGATGGCTTTCCATGGTTTCAGCCTTTCCTGGAGATGCCAGGGACTCAACCTTGAACCTTACACATGCAAAACATGTGACCCATCACTGAGCTCTGGCTCTTCCCCAAAGGAGATGGGTAGTGAATACCCTTTTTTCACAATTTCCCTTCCCTTAGTTCACTGTGCCAGCCACTTTCTTCCACTCATAGCTTACTCTTCAGAAAGGTAGAAATATGGAGCAACAGACATCCCTCTCCTGCATGATTTATTTACTGTGAAAAGGAAGACAGCCCTGTTTTATTTGTGAATGGGGCAACGGCATGAATAGCAACACTGACACACCTGTAGTTCGGTCCTCATTCTCCTTATCTTTCCATGTCTAATATGGGCATAATAATACTTGCCTGCCTTACAGAGCTGTTGTAGGAAATGCTAAAGTAACGTATAGAAGGAAGCGTTTTGAGCACTAATGGAAAGTGCAATGCATTTATTGTTGTATGGTATTATCAGTCTGTCACAAATGTCTGCTACTATTCCTGCAATCTGCTCAGGGCAGCATGTAAGGGAAGTTCCTATTTTGTCTTTGCAACAATCTTGACAGCTCTCTTTGTATAACAATCCTGTTTTCAGAGGTTCCAGAGACCTCCCTTTTGAACAAAAAGTAAGAAACAGTATAAAGTTTCTTGGTCAATCTACGCTAAACCGCTTTGAGGTTGTTGTTGTTTTTACAATCAAGCAGTGTATAATTTTTTAATGAAATATATAAAAATACACTAATTGGGTTTCAAGTACAGAACTCTCTCAGTCTTCCCTGGAATTGCCAGGGATTGAACCTGACGCTTTCTGCATGTAAGATGCTCTACCACTGCCATTCTCCAAGATATATACAGTGGTACCTCAGGTTAAGTACTTAATTCATTCCGGAGGTCCGTACTTAACCTGAAACTGTTCTTAACCTGAAGCACCACATTAGCTAATGGGGCCTCCCGCTACCGCCAGAGCACAATTTCTGTTTTCATCCTGAAGCAAAGTTCTTAACCTGAAGCACTATTTCTGGGTTAGCAGAGTCTGTAACCTGAAGCGTATGTAACCTGAAGTGTATGTAACCCGAGGTACCACTGTATATGTTCTTTACATTATAGAGCCTGGCCAGCAGATTCATCTCTCCCTTCCCTCCATCTCCCCCTGCCCTCCCCATAGCTCTTTCTATATTTAGGCCTTGGAATGTTTTTCTACAGTTGCTTCCCCAGTTCCCTGACTTTTTTGCAGGCTTCATCTTCTCCCACCTACTCTCTTCTGAGGTTCTTGTTTTTTCAGTTCAGTTCCTTCCCTTCTTCAGCTCAGCCCCATCTGGACCCTAGGCTTACCGTCTACTCCTTAGCCCATCTGCCTCCTGAAAACGCTCCACATTCAGCTTTCCAGACTGCAATCTCCCCGCCTAGGCCCTCCTGTCCAGCCCTAGGATGGACGAGAGCTTTCTCCAGCCAAACTGAAGCTGCAAGCTATTACTGTAAACTTTCCCCAAGACAGTTAGAATGTTTGTACATATTACATGACATCACCACGGTTTAGGCAATCTGCACCTAATGTGTCTCTTCCTTGCTGTCATCACATCATCATAAAACCCATTACAGTTTGGGGCTTTCTCTCTCCCTCTAGCAATGACTGAATGGTCTGGGCCAGTCTATCAAACTAAATGTGTAGAATAATGCAATGGATGTTCATGCTTTGCTTTGTTTTGCTGCTCTGTCTTTTATCTGCAAGTCAAAAAGAGCTCATACTCTTGCAATATACATGGGCTTTTCAATAAGCATGTGTCATGACTCCACAGGTTCTTTTCTGAGCCCAAAATCCAAATGCATATTTAAGTATTATTTGCATTTGTAAAAGACATCCTCCTTGAGACAATGCATTTATTTCCTTGCCGCAAAGGGACAAACTGCACATTGCTAACAATAGATATGGAGTAGGGAGAGCTTCACAAGAAAGTTAGCTGTCTCCGGCCAAATTGAAGCTGATCAAAAAGTGGAGAAGCTGCTTAAGTCTTTTATCACCCACTGTTTTCCCCATTCCAAACTTTTCCCCATTAGCCTCTGCAATGGGGTCTCCAAGCATAAACACAGACTTGGTGTTTTGGGAGTAAAAGATACTTGGGGAGAGATTTGGAGCAGGAAACTGGCAGGTAGGGAAAGGGTAAAGTACCGCCCCATATTCCCCATTCCAAATCACACAAACAAACCACAGCAAGAAAAAGGTATTCCAGTCTTTTTCTGCATATTGGCTAAAGATACTTTTTCACCATTCTATGACACAGACACCTTTTACACACACACACACACACACACACACACACACACACACCTTTTAAGCACATAGCATCACATTAATTGATTTGTGTAGAGGTGTGTAGGAACCTGGGTGCAATTTCATAGTGTCAGACATAGCTGAAGTGAAGATCATTAAAAAAATTCAGTGTTGCAATTCCAAGAGAAGGCGGCGTGCAGGTTCGCAGTTGAGGAGTGCCAGTTGAGATGCATGGTTACTGTAGCTACAACTCACACAGCAACAATATTGCTTTCTTCCCCCAACCTCCCCCTTTCAGTGTTTTGCATTAAATAATACACCAATTTATTATGTTGTGAGCCTCTTTATGCATATCTCACTGTTGGAAGCTGCATATAAATACCTCCTTTATCCATGATTGTGGATGAGGAGGCCAATCTGGCTTGAAGAGGGTGGAGTTGGTCTCATCCAGCTGTGCCCACCTGTATACATGGTACAGCATCAGGCCAGACTTGAGGGTCAGAGAGGGGAAGTTGCTGTGGTCTATAGAAATTCTGTCTGTCTCTCCAGGCTCTCTATCCAATCAGGTGGGGGAGGGATCTAGAGTGTGTGTTTCTGGTGTTGTGCAATCGGGACAGATTAGGGATTCTGCTGGTTTACTGTCCACTTCGCTGCAGTCTCAGAGGCAGTGTTGAGGACTCCCAGACTGCTGGTTCTAGGGGACATCAACATCCACACTGAGGCGACTGACTCTGCGGTGGCTCAGGACTTCATGGCTGCTGTGACAATCTCCTCTGGCTGCCTTCTCATTTTAGGCAGAGAACATAACACTCATAATAGCAGAACAATGTACGTTTTATTAGAAGCCACACATATGAGAATAACTTCGGACATACCCCTCACATTTGCCACCCTGTGGGGAATATCTCACCATTTGAAAATTTGACAGACAGAACTGAAAAAGAGGACAGGGTGGGAGTCTCAAAGTCAACAAAGGACAATATTTCATCCAAAATGGAGGGCATGCCACACACTCAGGGGAGACCTATAAAGTGTGGTTCACTCTTCCTAGCACACACCAAGCCTAAGTAAAACCTGTTTACTACAGGTAACATCCCTCAGTTGGCACTATCATCTGTAGCAAAGCTCTTGCTCTCCTCTGAAGCTTTGATATTGATGCTGGGTCACTCTCTACGTTCTTCTCAATAGGCTGTTCGTGTTGCAAACACGGTCCAGAACCCGCTCCTTCTATTTTTAACTTTTGACCCATGCACAAATGTTGATTTACGTACATGCGTATTTCCTCTGCTCCCCCTCCCCCCCCCCCGCCAACCAGGCTTGCTGGAAAGTATTCTTGTCAGAATAAGGGAATCTCAGAACATTAGGAATTATGCTTTGATTGGTTGCGCTTTCCAGAATCAACAAGGGACAGCTTGCCTCCGCCCCTCAACCCTAACCCTTTCCCTTCTTGAGCGGGTAAAACTGCCTTCAGAGAGCTCTGGTTGCAGAAGGGGCATCACTGTTCCTGACTTTCAAGGAAAGCTTGATAGTAACCTGCTATTTGAAGAGCGCTTGGTGTGCGGCGCTTGTCTCTCCTGACAAGTGAGAAGAGCAACAGTCAGCATCGCAGGCCTGTAGAGACAAGGGGAAGACCTCGGAGGAAAGCGGACAAGGGGTGGAGGAAACCTATAAAATGCCTCCTTTTTCTAGAACAGTGACTAGGGGAGGGGTGAGAAAGACAAAAGGTGAGGAGGGAAGCGGGTATACATAGAGGAAGGAGATACAAAGGGGGTGTGAGAAACCACAGGTGAAGGAAAGGAGGAAAGAGAAAGCAGTGGGAAGATGGTTAAAAAGTCCAAAGTCTCCATGGTAAGACCCTACACGAAGTAACAGAACAACGAGTCGTTTAAAGACAAGAGGCCATTCAGGTGAGTAAAATGGTCAATGTGACAAACTGCAGGAAGCTCAGGGAGTAAGAATTTGGAACTGGCTTTCTTTAAATTTAAAACAAGCAATAGTAAGAACCATCAGAAATCTGGAAGCATAATGAAGTGAGGCAGCCGCCTTCTCTCTGTTTACAGAAAAAGGACGACATGTGCTGGGTTATTTATATACTTTTGGAGTATTTTTCCTTGTTTAATAGTGTCCATCTAATGTGAGAAAGTTCACGTCCTTATGAATGTTGTCCTTGTTAGTTTTAATTACCTCCTAAACAGTAAGCTGTTTATGCTTTCCTGTTAGTTCAGCTTTTTCATATGACACTGATATCTGATAACCAAAGAAAGCTTTAATGCCTAGAGAGAGTTTGACATTATTTAATTTAAACGGATTCTTGTTCCTGAGAAGGCTATCTGATAACTGCAGAAACCTATAACCACTAGAGATGAACTTTGCTGTCATATGGCTGGATTCTTCTTGCTAGATTTAGTTGGAAGCTTTACATTGTTTCTTTTTTGTATGTGCGCATTTTGTAGAATATTTGCTCTTCATTACATGCATAGTAAAATTGACAGCACTATCTTATACATACTCTACTCAGAAGCAGTTCCATTGCATTCCTTGGAGCTTACTCCCAGGTAAGTGTGCTGCTAAACTGCCTGATCTAAATAAGAATATTTTAGGGGTGGCTTCCAGGTCTGTTCTGACTTAACGGAGGCAGCCTCCAAGACAGCAGGAGATTGTTGGCGAAGGAAAAACGAGGATGATTGAGGGTAATTATCCTTGCAAATTCCCCCCAAGGAAAGTGGGGAATGGGCTTCACTCGCAGTTCGTCTTGGTACCTGGCTCTCGCTCCGGCATGGAATGTGGGAGGCAGGGAGGCGCAGAGTGTAAAAGCCCTTTGCCTGGCAAAAACCCTCCAACACCACCATTAAGAAGCAGAGGTTATCCTGTTAATTAGAGCTTAATTGGACTAAAGTACAGGCACATGCTAGAAGAGATGAGATCACAAACTGTGGAACAAACCAACTACAAGGACTTTAAGGTGTGAACTTGAGATAAGACTTCATTTGGTGCAAAAGACAGCGGGAGGGGAGCCTACGGTTTCTTTATTTAAAGTTTTCTTCTCTAAATTTATGATTCGGCAACCATCCTCTGAATGTTAGTTCAAATTATATTTATACAAGCAAGTATGGAATAAATTGGATTATAAATATGGATTATAGCATCAAACGGAATTGTGTGTGTTGAAAAAGGAAAAAGGAAGGGAAGCTCTATTTTGCAAAAGATTTATGATGGAGACTTAGAGCTGACTTGTCCCCATCCTTTATTATTTATGAAGTCAATAAAATGATTACAAATGTGATTGAAATTAATAAGATTTTGGAACACAGAAATAAAGAAAATCATCAAACCATCAAATCTAGCTTGCGGGGGGGGGCTCTTTGGCTAAATTATATAATTCGGTATTTGAACGATTGGTATTAACAACTGCATTATAAATTGGGTTTTTTTAAATAATGAGGCTATTATTGGACTGTAATTGAAAACTAATAAAAAACATTACATAAAAAGAATATTTTAGTGGTGGTGATGAAGTCTGCACATACACTAATTTTAGAGAGGGGGGGAAGTCACATGATTTGGAAGTAGAAGACAGGACAAGAGCTTTCTTCTAATTGCCTTAACCTCTAGAAACCAACAGAGTGTTCTGAGGCATTTTGACTTGAGACTATGTCCTACTTTATTTAATGGGACTTAGAAGAACATGTGCATAGAATTAGAGATCAAGGGCTACCTATAGTTAGAGACAGATGAGTGGTCTTGCTAACAGAAATTTCTTCTTTATTTAAGTTATAAGAATGCTGGAGCTGGCCTCATCATAGTCAGGGTGTTATGGGAAGATGAATAGACCAGAGAAACCAAATGCTCTTGGACCAAGCTGATGGGGGGGCATTGTTAGACCACCAAGTACAATTGCATTGTTATTCTTTTGAAGTGGTTATTACTAGAGGCAAGCTGTGCAAAACCAGCCAACTTGCCCATGATCTGAATTCAGCTGAAACAGCTCTTTTGATTTCCCACTTTTTAATTTCTTTTTTGTTTGGAATTCCTCAATATCTCTGCCAATAAATTCCCATATGATGGTTATGTAGCGCATGTCCCATGTGAAACTAGATGTCTGGTTTGTGAGTGTGTGTGTGATGTATTATCCCACTCCTATTTAATGTATCTATGTGTAGATATTTGCATGTCAGTCCATGTATGTTAGGTCTCTGGAAAAATCGAGGCCCTCTTTACCCTCAGCCGTTCAGTCAGGGAAAATAAAAAGTACCATTCCATCAGGATTGATCCCCAAATACTATCATCATGAACTTGTGCTTTCACTTGGAATGTGTCCGATTTCATTCCAGTTAACAGACCACAAGTACTAGACTTGTTCTGTGAGGTACATTAGGTATAGTTAGTGGTAGGCTCACGAGTGCTGTATGGCATTGCATATTTGAACTCTTTCCCCTCAGAATCATAGAATCATAGAATCATAGAATCATAGAGTTGGAAGAGACCACAAGGGCCATCGAGTCCAACCCCCTGCCAAGCAGGAAACACCATCAGAGCACTCCTGACATATGGTTGTCAAGCCTCTGCTTAAAGACCTCCAAAGAAGGAGACTCCACCACACTCCTTGGCAGCAAATTCCACTGTCGAACAGCTCTTACTGTCAGGAAGTTCTTCCTAATGTTTAGGTGGAATCTTCTTTCTTGTAGTTTGGATCCATTGCTCCGTGTCCGCTTCTCTGGAGCAGCAGAAAACAACCTTTCTCCCTCCTCTATGTGACATCCTTTTATATATTTGAACATGGCTATCATATCACCCCTTAACCTCCTCTTCTCCAGGCTAAACATGCCCAGCTCTCTTAGCCGTTCCTCATAAGGCATCGTTTCCAGGCCTTTGACCATTTTGGTTGCCCTCCTCTGGACACGTTCCAGTTTGTCAATGTCCTTCTTGAAGTGTGGTGCCCAGAACTGGACACAGTACTCCAGGTGAGGTCTGACCAGAGCAGAATACAGTGGCACTATTACTTCCCTTGATCTAGATGCTATACTCCTATTGATGCAGCCCAGAATTGCATTGGCTTTTTAGCTGCCGCGTCACACTGTTGGCTCATGTGAAGTTTGTGGTCAACCAAGACTCCTAGATCCTTTTCACATGTACTGCTCTCAAGCCAGGTGTCCCCCATCTTGTATTTGTGCCTCTCATTTTTTTGCCCAAGTGCAATACTTTACATTTCTCCCTGTTAAAATTCATCTTGTTTGTTTTGGCCCAGTTCTCTAATCTGTCAAGGTCGTTTTGAAGTGTGATCCTGTCCTCTGGGGTGTTAGCCACCCCTCCCAATTTGGTGTCATCTGCAAATTTGATCAGGATGCCCTTGAGTCCATCACCCAAGTCGTTGATAAAGATGTTGAATAAGACCGGGCCCAAGACAGAACCCTGTGGCACCCCACTAGTCACTCTTCTCCAGGATGAAGAGGAACCATTGATGAGCACCCTTTGGGTTCGGTCAGTCAGCCAGTTACAAATCCACTGAGTGGTAGCATAGTCAAGACCACATTTTACCAGCTTCTTTACAAGAATATCATGAGGCACCTTGTCAAATGCCTTGCTGAAATCAAGGTAGGCTACATCCACTGCGTTCCCTTCATCCACCAGGCTTGTAATTCTGTCAAAAACGAGATCAGGTTAGTCTGACATGACTTATTTTTCAGAAATCCATGCTGACTATTGGTGATCACAGCATTCCTTTCTAGGTGCTCACAGACTGTTTGCTTAATGATCTGCTCCAGAATCTTCCCTGGTATTGATGTCAGACTGACTGGGCGGTAATTATTTGGGTCCTCTCTTTTCCCCTTTTTGAAAATAGGGACAACATTTGCCCTCCTCCAGTCTGCCGGGACTTCGCCTGTTCTCCAGGAATTCTCAAAGATGACTGCCAGTGGTTCTGAGATCACATCTGCCAGTTCTTTTAATACTCTTGGATGCAGTTCATCTGGCCCTGGAGACTTGAATACATCTAAACTAGCCAAGTATTCTTGTACTATCTCCTTAGTTATTCTGGGCTGTGTTTCCTTTGCTGAATCATTTGCTCCAAATTCTTCAGGTCGGGCATTGTTTTCTTTATCGGAGAAGACTGAGGCAAAGAAGGCATTGAGGAGTTCAGCTCTTTCTGTGTCCCCTGTTTGCATTTCACCATCTTCTCCTCTGAGTGACCCCACTGTTTCTTTGTTCTTCCTTTTGCTACGGACATACCCATAAAAGCCTTTTTGTTGCTTTTAACCTCTCTAGCAAGCCTGAGTTCATTCTGTGCTTTAGCTTTTCTGACTTTGTGTCTACACGTGCTGGCTATTTGTTTGAATTCCTCTTTGGTGGTTTCCCCCTTTTCCATTTTTGTACACATCCTTTTTAATCTTAACTCAGTTAAAAGTTCTTTAGATAGCCACCCTGGCTTCTTTAGGCACCTTCCATGTTTCCGTCTCATTGGTATTGCCTGACGTTGTGCTTTTAGTATCTCCCTCTTAACAAACTCCCAGCCATCATGAACTCCCTTTCCTTTTAGTATTACTGTCCATGGGATCTCACCCAGCACTTCCCTAAGTTTTATGAAGTCAGCTTTCTTAAAGTCAAGAAATTGAGTCCTAGTATGCTTGGCTGCTCCTTTCCGCTGTATAGTAAACTTCAGAAGAGCATGATCACTTGCGCCTAATGATCCTTCCACTTCTACCCCACTAACCAGGTCATCAACATTGGTTAGGACCAGATCTAAAATGGCTGTTCCTCTTGTTGCTTCTCCCACTTTCTGGACAATGAAGTTGTCTGCAAGGCCAGTGAGGAATCTGTTTGACCTTATGCTCTTGGCTGAGTTTGACATCCAACAAATATCCGGGTAATTGAAGTCCCCCATTACTACTATCTCCCTTCCTTTTGCATGCTTGGCCATCTGTTCCAGGAAGGCATCATCTATGTCCTCCGTTTGGCTTGGGGATCTATAGTAAACTCCCACAATGAGGTCACTGTTATTCTTCTCTCCCTTAATTTTGACCCAAATGCTCTCACTTTGGCTTTGAGGTTCTAAATCTTGGATCTCTTCACAGGTATACACATCCCTGACATATAACGCCACTCCTCCTCCTTTCTTGTCTGGTCTGTTTCTCTGAAATAGATTGTATCCCCCCATTATTACATTCCAATCGTGGGACTTATCCCACCAGGTTTCAGTGATGCCTATTATGTCATATTTAGTTTGCTGTACCAAGAGCTCAAGCTCATCTTGTTTATTTCCCATGCTTTGCGCATTAGTGTACAGACATTGAAGTCCATTAATCATTCCCCCGTGACTCTTATTTAAGCATTTCTTCCTCCCACCACTAGGTCTGTGTGCTGTTTGCTCCATTTGGTCTATGACATTTGGATGATCATCTTCATCAATTGATAGACTCCTACCTTCAGGAGCACTATCTCCCTCCCCCACATTAGTCAGTTTAAAGCCCTCCTGATGAGGTTTCTGAGATTTTTGGCAAAAACATTTCTCCCAACCGTTGTGAGGTGCAGCCCATCGCTTGCCAGAAGTCCATCTTCAAGAAACTGCAGTCCGTGATCTAAGAATCCAAACCGTTCCTGTTTACACCATTTGCGAAGCCAGCTGTTCACTTCCACTATTTTCCCCTCTCTCCCTGGGCCACGTCGTTCAACTGGGAGGACAGATGAGATCACAATTTGTGCATTTAATTGCTTCAATTTCCTGCCCAGAGCCTCGTAGTCTCTTTTGATCTTCTGGAGGCTATTGCTTGCAGTGTCATTGGTTCCCACGTGAACCAAGAGGAAGGGGTATTTGTCAGTGGGTTTTATGATTCCTTGCAGTCGTTCAGTTACATCTTGGATCTTAGCCCCGGGAGACAGCACACTTCCCGAGACATCTTGTCAGGCCCACAGATCACTGCTTCTGTTCCCCTCAGTAGGGAATCCCCTATCACCACTACACGCCTCCTCTTAGGTTTGGCCGGGGTTCTTCTGTGAGCTGTCCGCTCCAAGGTCGCCTGCACATTCCCTGAGGACTGACTTTGCTGCTCGTCTTCATATACCTGATCGACTGTAATGAGGGAGAGATCCTCAAATGGAGTCTGCTCTTCGTCTTCCATGCTAGGGGAGAGGACCTCAAAGCGATTGTGTATTTCTAAACAATCAGAGCGAACCCTGGGCCTCCTACTTCTTTGAGTCACGTTTCTCCATATATCTGGCTCCTGTGTTGGTGAACTAGCGTCCTTCTCAGGGGAGTCCCCTGTCTCCTCCTTGGTGGAGACGGTGTGCTCTGTTGCTTCCAAGAAGAGCTCCAGCTCTCTAATTCTTTGGAGCGTAGCTACACGTTCCTCCAGTTGCTGGACTTTGTCTTTTAAGAGGGCAATCAACATGCAATTGCTGCAGGTAAAGCTGCCTGCAACCTTTGGCAAGATGGCAAGCATTGCGCAGGAACCGCAGGCGACTGCAGCTGTTCCCTCCCCTCCATCTTGAGAACGTGTCGTTGGGGGTGGCTACAGTGGTCCTCCATCATAAAAAGCGTGAAGACAGGAAAAATAACTCCCCCACAAAAAACCTAGGTCTTCCCCAACAAACGTTTGAGACTAGCTCCCTAAATCTAAAAGATGGATAAAACTGCGCGCGCCGCTAGGCTGCGCCGCTGCCCTGCAATCTCTGATAAGCTCCTCCCACAGCTAATCACCTGCCTCAACAGAAACCCTGCCCCCTCTGACCTTTGCACAGGGAGAGCAGCCAATCAGCCACAAAGAAACACACACACACAAGAAAACCCTTTTTGCTCCTTCTTCAACTGCTGCCCTGCAATCTCTGATAAGCTCCTCCCACAGCTAATCACCTGCCTCAACAGAAACCCTGCCCCCTCTGACCTTTGCACGGGGAGAGCAGCCAATCAGCCACAAAGAAACACACACACACAAGAAAACCCTTTTTGCTCCTTCTTCAACTGCTGCCCTGCAATCTCTGATAAGCTCCTCCCACAGCTAATCACCTGCCTCAACAGAAACCCTGCCCCCTCTGACCTTTGCACAGGGAGAGCAGCCAATCAGCCACAAAGAAACACACACACACAAGAAAACCCTTTTTGCTCCTTCTTCAACTGCTGCCCTGCAATCTCTGATAAGCTCCTCCCACAGCTAATCACCTGCCTCAACAGAAACCCTGCCCCCTCTGACCTTTGCACAGGGAGAGCAGCCAATCAGATACAAAGAAACACACACACACAAGAAAACCCTTTTTGCTCCTTCTTCAACTGCTGCCCTGCAATCTCTGATAAGCTCCTCCCACAGCTAATCACCTGCCTCAACAGAAACCCTGTTTCTCAGCCTTTGTACAAAACCCTAACCAGCACATGGGAGGTGTTTGTTTGCATGTTTGTTTACTATTACATTTATACTCCATGGAGGGAACTCCATGGAGCTCAAGGTGGCCAGCATACTTCTCCTCCTCATTTTCTCCTCACAACAACCCTGTGAGGTAGGTTAGGCTGAGATTGAGTGGCTGGCCCAAGGTCACCCAGTGAGTTTCATGGCTGAGTGGGGATTCAAACCCTGGTCTCCCAGGTCCTAGTTCACCCTCTAAACACTACACCACACTGGCTCTCAACTGCACATGCTTGATCAGGCTATTTCATCCCTAGTACTCAACATTTTACATTGCACCAGAGGCTGCAGCAGCAGAGGAGTATGTTTGCCTGTCCAGATATGGTGGTGGTGGTGGTGGTGATGGTGATGCAGCCCATCTGGCAGGGTTGCCCCAGTCACTCGAGGTAGCTTCCAACAAATTAAAACACAGTAAGACACCAAACATTTTAAACTTCCCTATAGAGGGCTGCTTTCAGATGTCTTTGAAAAATCAGATAGTTGTTTATTTCCTTGGTTATGGATCTAGCACAAATAATATTACATGGCTCCTCTTTGTAGCAGTCCCTGTATTAGCAAATTCTGGGTGATGCACTATATATAAAACCAATCAGACACCAAACTGAACAGTCTCAGCTGCCCCAGTGTCTTCTCTCTGGATTTTCCTATGGTGAGACAATTCCTAAGGGTTCAGAGTTCAGAATGGTGAGATTCTGAATCCACAGTCTCTTGGGAACTATGCAAAGTATTCTCACTGTTGCAAGCAAGTTATGCATTATTTTTATCACATACATTTTATTTTAACACATACATTTTATTTTATCCCTGTACTTTGCCCTTGGGAATGTCAGTACTCGGTTGGAAGGAATCTGAAGCATACCAGCATAGGCAATCATTCCTCTTCCAGCTCCTTTCTCTTTGGCCTGTAGGCTGATTTCACATACCCTCCTCCACTGTCCTTGTCTCCTTTGTGTCATCACAGCACTTGAAAGAAATAGAACAGATGAGCAGTTACATGAGCAGTGGGGATCAAGAACAGACCAAAAGATCTCATCAGAGAACCAATTTGATTTCCCCTCCTTTTCAAAGGAGACTTTAAAAAATAAAAAGCCCCGATATTTAAATATTGGGTGAATATCTACTGAAAAAACAAAACTGTTCAAAAATGTGTTTGATTAATTTGCTCCCATAAAAATTAAAAACCCAGCCCCCTCTGGATTATGCTATGTTTCCCCTTTCTAGCTAATTTGTATGTAGGTTAGAATGTGAACATATTGTCACGTCAGTAAGAAACATCTGTCCATTTGTCTACTAGAACAGGTGTGGGAGAAAGTAAGGTCAGGATCTATTGGTAGATTGTTGGATAATTTGCAATGTAAGGATTTCCTGTCTCCCAGTCACAAGTTACAATACCTTACCTACCCCACCCTAAATTAGGTAGTTAGAATCCCTGATCTGTAGTGAACTAGATTTGTACTTACGTATATACAGGCCATTACACTCATAGGTAATTTACCTGACCTCTTGAGCCACTGTTTTATACCTAAACCACGAGCTCCAGTTGATGAATCTTGAGGTTCTAGTAAAAAAGATAAACTAAACACCATTGATTCAACAAACCAGCGAAGACATGGTGCCTTAAAAACTCACACTTCCGGGTTAGCGCCATCGCCGAATGGCGGACTCCCTCCGAGCTCCGGAGGGAGTCTGCTCGGCAGGGGCTGGGTCCTACCGCGCCGGCGACGCGGGGACCCTTCAAAACCACGGGCACGGAGTCCGTGGACATGGGTGACTCGGCTTGCACCATTAGCGCCCTCCCGACTCGTGAAGAAGCCTTTTAAAGGCTTCGGATCGGGTGCCGGGAGTGGCGTGGTGCTTTGAGTCCACTGCTTTCACTGCCGAGCGCAGCCGCATGCCATTCGACGGAGAGCGCTGACTTCTTCCATTGAAAATTTGGACTATTAACAACAACCCGTGAGTAATTGGGAAACCGGGTTCAAAATTTTGGATTTGGCACGAGCGGGGCGATTTAAAAGGAAGTCAATCCCCCTATTGTAAGCATTCCAAAACAAGGACTGGGTAACCAAGGTCCAAAGGGAAGTATATCTCTGATAAAAATCATTAATTTCACGATGGGAAATTATAAGAAATGTGCTGGAGGAGAAGAGTGGAGGGTGAGAAGAAAATGCAACCCCCCCCCTGGGAACCGGGGCGATTCGTGGAGCCTGGTGAAGAGAGACGGAGACTTTGACAGCTGTCAAAGTGGCTGTCAAAGCTGGAGAATATAAAGAGGACTTTGTTATGAGGACCTTGCTGGTTAATTTTGTTACAATTTGCTATAATATGGATATAAACTGTTGGAAAATAAGCAACAATTTGACTTTTGGATTAGAGGATACAAAGTTATTACAATCCCCTAGAGGGGTTTCGGGATACTACAAGAACGGTCGTAAGTGGAAAAATACCCTGGGATTCGTACAGGACTTGTTATCTTCTGGGAAAGCTGCAAAACTGAAAGAGTATTTTGTCTACAGAGGAAGACAATGGAATTTTTTATTGAAGAAAGGAAGGGACTGGACGTAAGTTTTGTTCCTGAATAACAAACCTCTGCAGAGACACTAGATTTCTGAATTAGAAAGTTTTAGCAGCTGAACAGGACAAGAAACCTGAGAAAGTGAGGAATAAGAAGAATAAAGGACTGATTACGACACGGAAAGAACAACGGGAGGAGTGGTAAAGATCAAGGAAATTAAAGGCCTTTGTTATATTGGACATTTGAAGTTAAATATTATTTAAATTAATAAATTAAAAGAAAACCGTAAAGATGGAATCGGGTATAAATCTGGTCATTAAATGAGACTTCCAAGCTGATAATGTATAGACTGATGTACATGGGGAATTCAAACCGGGAAGGGGGAGATTTGAAATCCAAAGGCTGTGTAACCATCTTTTGAATTTTTCTATATTTTCTTATTTTCTATTTCTTTACATAACTTACGCATGTTATTCTACTTTGATCGGACGTGTTTAAAAAAAAGGGAATTTGTGGAAGGAACTGGGGTGGATCTTGGGGAAAATCTTTTTTCTTTTTCTGTTAATGATGTGGGACGGTGGTAAGATTTGTACAATTCAATCTGGATAGTGGGTTAAACAAATTAAGCTTTAAATTGGGAGTGAGAGCTTGTAGAACCAAATTAAGGAAAGGGGAATACAATTGGGGGGGGAGGGGGGGAGTCCCAGAAAGTAGGGAATGAAAGTAAGGTTTTTAAATAACTTTTTTCTTCTGTCTTTTTTCTTTGTATTTTTATATTTTTGGAAACTTTAATAAATATGATTTAAAAAAAAAAAAAAAACATAAAAACTCACACAGAAGTTATGGCAGAAGCTTTTGTGAACTAAAGCCCACAGTGATGCATGGAGTGTTGCCCGCAGTTTGATATTCTCTCTCTCTCTCACACACACACACATACACACACACACACACACACACACGTACATGAAAAGAGACTGGAAGGGGGTAGAGTAAACAGTGGAGCCAAGCACCATGGAATTCAAGAAATACAGCTTGTGATGCATCTGTGCAAAATTCAGATGTTCCATATAATGCTGAGAAAGCTGTATGATGTCCTTCTTTAGACCAGTATCATGCTAAGTTTTTGCTACGAGGCATTTATCCATGTTGTTCCCTGCGTCTCCTTAAATAAACAAATAAAAGCAATCTCCCTTTTACTGACTGCACCACAATACAGCCTCAAAAATGAAGCTGTAGTCTTCTCTTTCCACCGCACTCAGACTATGTCAATACAGTATTTCTTAATCTTCCTGGGTTCATCCGTATTATTTGGCTGTCCTCGCTGGCGTATCCAACACCTCCCAATTTAGTACCAGACATAAGATTTACATGCTTTGTTACATGCCAGTTCAATCAGCTTTGAACTCGCTGATAAAGATACAAAGTAAAACACCCATCTGTGCAGCAGCATTCAGCACACTCACACCCAAGGTATGATAACGCCACTTAGCATTATCCTTTGCTTGCAGTCCTTCAACTCAGTATATTCACAGCATTCATAAACATGGAGGGAAGCTTTTGGAGTATACCGTACTTTCCAATTCAATTGTTTTACAATAATCTCTGTGGTTTCAGAGAACAATGTGTAGCAAAACAACAGAGACTCTTACAGCACTTTAATGATGAGTCAGAAGACTCTCTGAGATTTCAGAGCATCTCAGAGACAACTAGCTTCTTTTTCCCCTCTCCCTTTGTAGTGTGAGTTCTAGATTGATTATTGTTAAGTATCTCGTTTATTTGGTACAGTTTTAAAAAGCAGCAACATAATGTTGAATGCTGCATTGATTTTAGATTGCCCTGCTGTAAGTCATCCCTGAGATTCACTTTTTATTTTAATTAAAATGTATGTGTCTATTTGAGAGATTTATGTCCCACTTTGGGGCAGAAGCTCTCAAGGCACTTACAAAAACAATTTCACACTGGAGAAACCTTTTCTTGATACTTCAAAGTTTAAAGGCACTAGGCAAAGTTGCCTTGGGATAAATTTCTAGCATGGGTGCCAACACAGTAAAAGCCCTTTCAGTGGTCAACTTCAAATATGAAATTATTCTTCCATGAGGTTCATCCCACAGTGTGGCCATAATGCAGCCTTTTTCAGCCTTGGGTCCCCATATGTTGTTGGACTACAAGTCCCATCATCCCTGCCCGCTGGTCCTGCTAGCTATGGATGATGGGAGTTGTAGTCCAACAACATATGTGGACCAAAGGATGAGAATGGTTGTCATAATGTTTAAAAGCTCAGAACTGCATAGGTGGGGCCATTTGTGCAAGTCCTTCATATCTGATCGTAGCTGAACCAGAATCAGGAACCAACACAATTGGCCCCGATTGCACCGTGCCATACCTTTAAATGTTACAACCACACCATGGGATGAAGCTACGGAAAAACTATTCCAAAGCCACTGCTATAACATCTAAAAGGCACCAAAAGCAAACGGCATCAATGTTTTCCTTTTGAACAGACATCCTTGTTAAAGAATATCCATACTAGATGGGCTTAGCTTCGAGCATTCCTTTTGTGCAGTGAATATTGTAATATCTTAATTTCACCCATCACAAGTTCAGCACCCATCACAAGAAGCATTTTACAGAGAAGGCCCTGAAGGCAGACTCATATAGGACCTTTTCCCCATTGCAAGGGGATTTCATTTCCTAATAGAGATCTATGTGGAAAGGGTCTATGTGGAAAGGGTCCAAAAGTCAAGTTTCCCAAACTTATATTGGCCATACAGATTTTCATTCAAATTTGCACCAGCCAACAGACTTCCATGTATCATATGGTAGGGAAACGGCCATGCATTTAAAAAAATACATTTAATCACTAACCCTCTTCTGCAGGGCTAACAGTCTTTGGTCACCTTTCTTGTGGGAAAACATAGTGCTAGCTGTTGAGGTCTGCTATTTATATCCCTGCAGATCCCATTTTAGCTAGGCCTCCAGGCTTTCTGTGTGTTAAGTGAAGGATTCTTGGCCTCCCCGCAGCAAATAACAGAAGTTCATACAAAGAGAGTTCTCTGAAGCAGAAGCTTACATGGGTGGAATGGTCTGCCCACCTCGTAACAGGGAGTTCTTTAAACCGCTTCGCTATTCTTTGCTTGTCAAGGACGCTGCTTTGTCTGGAGCAAAGAGTAATGGAGTACGGTGTCTCTGTCTTCCCTCTCATTCAGTGCATGTGATACCACAAGCAAAAGGAAGTTATGGCCATGAGAACAAGGAAGGGAAAACTTCCCTCCTCTGAAAGAAAGTAACAAAAGGTTTTTATAGCTGGGTGATCTCAAAGAAACAGTGCCATAGGGATGTCGACCACAACATCCAGATGTGTAGACGCCCGCTCTCAAATGAACAGCATTCGCTCACTCAAAGTTGTGTTCTGCTGCCCAACTTACAATGGGACTGTTTTGAGGAAGGGAAATAGATACGTAAGTAGAGGCGTGGTGAATGGAAACACTGGAGAGTTTGGCTACTAGGTTAAATGAGGTCATCACACAGTGAGTTCATGGTAGACAGGCATGGGTGTATGACCAAAGACTTAGGCACGAGTGGTCCCATGCAAGGTGGCTGAGAGTACTTGTGATATGCTTACAGAGGTGCTTTGATGTATAAAAGAAGCAGAACTGCAAGCTTTAGGCTGCAATCCACTGCCTACTTTTTTTGGGAGTACTCCCTCCTGGATTCAATGTGACTTGTTTCTAAGTAGACGTGTTTAGGATTATGATATTGCTAATCAATTTCTTTGCTAGATTAAACAACTAAAACAACACAGTGGGGCAAAATATGAATTGGTGATGCTGAGACCAAGTGACACATTTTTCAACTTTCCTGAAGTACTTTGACTTAGTAATCCTACTTCAGTATAGTACAGTGGTACCTTGGGTTAAGTACTTAATTCGTTCCGGAAGTCCGTTGTTAACCTGAAACTGTTCTTAACCTGAAGCACCACTTTAGCTAATGGGGCCTCCTCCTGCTGCCGCACCGCCAGAGCACGATTTCTGTTCTCATCCTGAAGTGAAGTTCTTAACCTGAGGTACTATTTCTGTGTTAGCGGAGTCCATAACCTGAAGCGTATGTAACCCGAGGTACCACAGTACTATAATGAAGTGGTATAATGCTTTATCTACAAAAAAAAAAGTTGCCTTTATCTGCTTCCACAGTTGCTTTTGTGGCAGTTTTGGAGTCTTTCAAATGCCACTCTATCTACAAAGGAAGTACTATTTATTGGCAATTATTTCTCTTCCATTGCATTCGCATTTGCATTTTTAAAAATGGTGTTATATGTTATAACATTGTACACTGCCCTGGATATGAGATGATATGGAAGTACTTTTATGCATAAATAAGATTATTTCAGCAAGACACACAAACTCTCTCTCTCCTCTCTCTCTCCCTCAGAGACCAGTCTCTCTGCTGAGCCAAAATGGGTGACTGGAGCTTCCTAGGAGAATTTCTGGAGGAAGTCCACAAGCATTCCACAGTGGTGGGGAAAGTCTGGCTGACCGTGCTCTTTATCTTCCGGATGCTTGTCCTGGGCACAGCCGCAGAGTCTTCGTGGGGAGATGAACAGTCAGACTTCATGTGTGACACCCGGCAACCGGGTTGCGAGAACGTCTGCTACGACAAAGCTTTCCCCATCTCCCACATCAGGTACTGGGTCCTCCAGATCATCTTTGTCTCCACCCCTTCCCTGCTGTACATGGGACATGCAATGCACACAGTGCGCATGGAGGAGAAGAGGAAGCTAAAGGAGGCCAAAGAAGCGTCGGCAGCAATTCAGAGCAAGGGAGATTCTTTCCACCAGCAGGAGTACCAAGCACCCGAGAAGGCAGAGCTGTCCTGCTGGGATGAGCCAAGTGGGAGGATCATTCTTCAAGGCACTTTGTTGAACACCTACGTCTGCAGCATTTTAATCCGTACCACCATGGAGGTAGCATTCATCATTGGGCAGTACATGCTGTATGGAATCTTCCTTGAGACGCTCTATATCTGTCAACGGAAGCCTTGCCCCCATCCAGTCAACTGCTACGTCTCTCGGCCAACTGAGAAGAACATCTTTATCATTTTCATGCTGGCCGTAGCAGCACTCTCCCTGTTCTTAAGCCTGGCTGAACTATATCACTTGGGATGGAAGAAAGCCAAGCAGAAGTTCTCCCATCCTTACAAACGCAGCCCCAGCCCAGTCGCCAGCAAACTGGAAACAGACCCCCAAGCAAAGATGACCCAAGGCTGTACCCCTCCTCCAGATTTTAATCAGTGTTTGGCCAACCCTGGTGGAAAATTTATCAGTCCCTTCAGCAACAAAATGGCCTCTCAGCAGAACACTGCCAATTTTGCAACGGAGAGGGTTCACAACCAAGACAACGTAGACAGGGAAGCTCCATTTATCCAAGTTAACTATTCTCAGGCTTCGGAGGCCGCCAATAGCTCCACACCCACCCTGGTTCCCAATGGCTACTTCCACGACAAACGTAGGCTCAGCAAAACCAGCCACGCCAGCAGTAAAGCTCGCTCTGATGACCTGTCCGTGTGAATTGTGTTCTGTGGGGGCAACAGGAAGGGAAGACTCTCTGATGTGACAAAAACTTGCAGTGTAGATTTTGAAACCCTGGCAGTCTGGGGTCCAATCAGCCAGTTCAACTCATTAAGTGAATGGCCTGGCATATTGCAAAAAGTTTATGTCAAAGCTTATTTCATTATTTGAGTTTGTTAACATACAGTCAGAAAGGGGAGTGATCTATTTCAAAACAAATACTAAAATAAGCTTTGGTTACTAGAGAAAGGACTGAAGCTGAAGAATACTTTGAGTAGATATCACTCTCCACTTAAACCAGTATAATCATTCTGATTTTTCCAAAGAATGCTGGAGTGATAATAATAAAAATAATAATTTTATTATTTATACCCTGCCCATCTGGCTGGGTTTCCCTAGCCACTCTGGGCGGCTCCCAACAGAACACTAAAAATGGAATAAAACTTCAAACATTAACAACTTCCCTAAAAAGGGCTGCCTTCAGATGTCTTCTAAAAGTGAGATAGTTGTTTATTTCCTTGACATCTGATGTGAGGGCGTTCCACAGGGCGGGTGCCACTACCAAGAAGGTGACATCTTTAGTGGAAGTCCCAAGCCCTTTCATAAATCCCTATATCACTATAAATCCCTGGATTTCTTGATTGGATTTATGATAGTTTCAATTTGCAGTGGCTTTGGTTGCTATTTTGGACAAATCCTTAAACTAGCAGACCCTAACACTCTGCTATTTAATAGGGAGGTGTCATTGATTGTGACATCCACTATTTCTCTCCTCTCAAATAAAGCAGAGACACTGACTTGCTGAGCTAAACATTTACTTCCCAGATGAGGCTGGTTTCTTATATGCAGCACTGACCTGATGACTATGAGCCTCTGCTCTTCCACTTCTCCACTTCCCTTCTAGCATCATTTTCAGACATTTTGCAAGCACACCATGGGGCAGCTTCCCTTTTCCTGGAAAAGTGAAAAATAAAGTGGTCTTTCCTTCTCATCTTTCCACTGGACCCCGCATACTATTCCAGCTTGCCCTACTTATGCCAAGTAAATGTGCAATGAATTCTACTTGAATTTTTGATATGTCTGTATATAACTACTTTAGAATTTGAATAGCCTCCTAGATAAAGACTAGCTCTGTATGACAGTAACTGAATAGACTTATTAGAGTTGTTTCAACAGAAATATTTACTCAATGGAAACAATATTTCCCATGGAAAATAATACTTCAATGAGAAACGTGAAGAAATAATGCTTTATTTCTAATAATGAGAAATAATACTTTAATGAGAAGCAACCCAGTGTGGGGAAGCACATTCATATTTTGTAGTTTTTTTAAATTTTGTACTCTTTTTAATCCATTCTTACATTTAAATTTAGCGGTGATGTGTGTGTTTGTTTGTTTTTTTAAAAAAATGATCAGGCAAGAATACACTCAGGATCAAAAGTAGAGAATGCAAGGGCTAAGAGGACCATTTCAACTAGAATGGCCTCTTGTATGCACAAAGGAGAGGAAATGTTTCAACAAGAAACAGGAGCCAAGAGGACGTGAATTGGCATAAAATTTGTGTATGTTAATTTATAGAGAGATGCAAATTTAGAACTGATTCCTTTAATTGGTGGTAGTACACTTTGGGTTCATCCACACTTCTGCTTGTCCCATGCCTAGGAAGCACAGGTCCAAGAGGTTTTCTCATGCTCTCTAGACAGTAAAGAGCAGCACAGACAGAAGTGTGGACCAGAGCTACATCTCACCTTAGTGGGGAAGTCTGTGTGCCTGCTCGGTTTTCTGTTCAAATGTTAACTATCACAGCCACCTTCAAGGCACCTGCTCTCCCTTCTTTTGGTTTTTTAGCTTTAAACTGGACTTGGATCCAGTGGTGGTGGTGGTGGTGGGTCAACACTGAAAATGGTAGGGTAAAGGCAGGGAGCCCCTCAGTAGGTGGAGCCAGAGCCAATGACAGGCAGAGTCAACTAATTCTAGTCTTGTCCCCATGCTCCTCCCTGCTGAGTTCTACAAGGGCAACACTGAGCCTAAGACGAAAGAAGCTGACAGGAATGGTCACCCCCTGGACTGGATATAAGTAAGAAGGCTAGCCCCATTTACCCTAATGAACCAACCTCTACTGCTTGGACCAGACAGGCCTTCAAACAGAAGGTTGTCCTCTGGCAGACCTTCATACAGACGACTATTTTCAGTGAAGTAGGATACATGGCCACCAGAATTTCAACATTATTTCTAGAGAGCTCTAAACCATTTCTGTACTCAATTAGCTGAGCAGGAAGCACTGGCAGAAGCAGATGAGAACTAGAAAAGCCACATAGTTTTGGCAGCTGGAGGAGGAGGGCAAGGGAATCATGAGGCACCCACCTTACAGGTGCAGCGGTCAGGAATCAGGCCCAAGCAATTTCTGGAGCCTCTAGCACTGTTGAAAGTCTAATCAGAGCTACAGGAAATTAACTTCTCATGAGTTAATTAGAATGATATGTTTCCTTATAGCTTCTCCTAGGTTTCCTGGAGTAGTTGTGTCTGGTCTTCATGCTCTATGAGTGACCAGGACCAGTTTCATACACTTGGGACGCCAAAAGCCCCTGAGGAGCCTCACAAGACCTATAAACATGATTCACTCGTGCAAAGCCTTCACTGTCTTGCAAGTTCACTTCAATTTTTCCCTCACGTGACCTCTTAAGAGTGGGAATATTATCTACTGACGGAGTGTCAAGCATGGCTGACACTTATTCTTAAAGAAACTAGAAAAATACTCAGTTCCATCCCACACCACCACGCTACAGTTTAGACTAGATGTTCAAGATAGCAAACACCACTAACCTTGTAGACTGCACAGATGACACCCAGGAATAGGGGGATCAGTTTGTTTATCACAAAACTCAGATAAGGGAATTTTTGTCATCCTCTTTCAGGAGGATCTGGTTTCTAAATAGTAATGTGTTCTGCTGCCCTTTCAAAAACATATGTTTACTGAATTAATGTTGCATCCCACCACCTTATATTGAGCAGAGAGAACAAGCGCAATGATGTATTTGTGATAGAAGGGTGGATGAAAAACAAAATCCTGTGCTTAATTAACATTTGCTTCCTTTATAGCCCCTGATTTCTCCATATTTCAAGAAGGAGGGTGGGAAGATGCATGTTCTCTTTTAAAGAAGTTTTAAAACTATGCTTTGTTTTGTCCTAATAAAGTTTGGACTACAACTTCTCTGATTTGTGTCTGCTCTCAACAAAGCCAGTATGGGGAAATTTAAAATGCTACATAATAAAGCTTCACACAGTGGATGAATTGTGGCCCCATATTCTGACCTTCAAAAATTGAAACTACTAGAAAGGCTTTGTATCTGGTAGGAGGAAATTCCAGCAAGTTAGCCTGGTTAGTTTTCTGCATTAACACAGCAGTTTATTATAGTAAAAATCCCTATGTCCAGAGACCATGTCGTCAAACCTTTCTTCCATTTTGCTAAACAGCTCTAGCATTTCATAGCATACAAGCAGAAATGAATTGGAAAACATATCAGTATATAAATAAGGTATATCCCAAGCACAGGCTCGTTGACATATCATTATATTCAGGGTAGACCCAAAGACAGAGAGCAGAAGACAACTATGAGTCTTTCCTGTCCTTTATTATATCCACCCAAAAGTCTCACCAAAGGGTTGGGGGACCATCCTGAACAGCATGGGCTGTGGTGGAAGTGACTGCTATGGAAGGGTGACTTTTTCCACTCATGTGAGACTTTTAACCATTCTCTCCTCTCCTCTCACTGAAGTCCTATCAGGAAGGTCCCCCATTTGTCCAGTGAGGCTTCTTGCAAGGTGAAAGGTTGAGGAAGTGACAGGAAAGAGCCATTGCTTGAGTGGTCTGCTCATCCAACTTTGGATTCAATGCAAGATATTGAAAGATATGCTGATTCCACACTGGAAGTGTTTGTGTTCCTGCGTGAGTCGCACTCCTGTTTGTAACACTCAGGCAGACACTCCCCAAAACATGTGTGCCTTCCCCACTGGAACACCCTAGCATGCACATCAGAAAGTTGTGGTGCAAATGTGCAGCCCATGCTAGTCCTACAGCATCTTTGACTGCAGCCCCTGTGCACGGGGATTTTGTGAAGATCAGGTGCGCTGCACAAACACATCTTATATCAGCAACAATTTAAAAAAGGTATAGGCAGAGCCAGACCTTATCCTGATGCTTGCAATATGCTAGTTCTGTAAAGTTTACACCCTGTTGCTTTGATCAGTGGCCTGTCTTCACAAGGGACAAAGGATCTTCAGTTGTCTTAGTTCAAGACACCACTGAACGCGACATAGTAAAACCCTTTGCCCGCAAGCAACATCACTGTGTTTTTTTTAAAAAAGCACAATGTTTCTTTCAAGAATCAGACTGCAGTCTGATTCTTCCCTTTCTCTTTCTCCACTCTGCACTTTTGTTAGTGCTGTTCCCTTTCTCCCTTTCCCAAGCTAAGTACTGTGTATCCTACATATGTCCAAAATGTCTCCAGGAGTGCAATGCTAACATAGGGAGGAAGCTCTGTTGAGCACAGGGAGATTTATAGAATTGCACTATAAACTGAGACAATCTGGGGACTCTGTTTTCAGCTCACCAACAAAGTGCCTAGAAACCCAGTGCCTAAAAATCCAGATGTAGCACTCCTAATGGGGAATCTGTGGTCCTCTAGGTATCTGCTCCCATCATCCCTGACCATTGGTCACACTTACTGTTGTTGATAGGAATTGCAGTCCAGCAACAACTTGTGGGCCACAGGTACCTCACCTTTGGCCTAGAATTGATTGCAGTACCCTAGGCCTTTATGAGACTTGTACAGCTACTCCTTTTCAAAAATGAAAATGATGCAGAGGATATACATATCTCCACTCTGGGATGTGACTTGGAGAGGACCTGGTACACAGAGCTGGAGCCAATCCAGTACACCCAATAGGGCAACCACACCACTCTGAACTCCCCACTGCCTTTCCCTCCACTCATTAACCAGCAGTGATGCACAATACTGGGAAGCAAAGTGAGCCCTGACACCTCAACAGCTGTGCTGACCATTTTGCTTCACATGAAGAATTCAAGGACAGACACAGACATTTGGGAGCTGGTACTCCCAGCACTGTAACTCCTTCCAGAGAGGCTCTGCCTCAATCAAGCCCCAGCGTCCAGTCCAACTCTGGATTATTCCAGATGGTTGGCTAGGGATGGAAGGCTCTGTAAATGTTGGTTCTCCCGGTTTCTCATTTCCCCCATTATTTCTGACCAGTTTGTGGATTTTCTTTTTTTTTAAATCCTCTTGAAAATTCTTCAAATCCTTAGTGCACATTTTTTTTTCTAATAAACACATTTCTGTATGCAATTTTGACTGGTGCAACCTTTTTGCAAGCCTTTTCTCATGATGCAATGCATTTTTGTATGTTATTTTTACAAAGATTTTCATTTTAGGCACAATTTGACCCAATAAAAGGCATATTTTAAAACATTAGTTGGCTGGAGAACTGCATTGCAAAATTCAGATAAGTTTGAATTTTGAAGAATGGCTCTGTTTCAGTTCTCATATTACTTCAAAAAGCAAAGCAAAATTCAAACCCAATCCATTGCTACCGAGCTGCATTCTCTTCATTTAAGGTGGCAGCAGAGAGATCTATGAGATCAGAGGGAAGGGGGGAATCCAGGGTTTGTGTTCACTCTCACGGAGCGAAAGAAAGAGCTGGACCTTCTTTCTGCTTCCCTGCTTCCAGCCACTTACTGAAGACTGGATAAGGAACCCACATAGTAATATTACTGGGGAGAGAGCATAGCATGGCTTTGTTTTTTATGGAGAATGAAGATTTGATTGTGGGGCCACCTTACACCTTCTTAAATTTTTTATTAGTAGCAACTTGGAGTTGGCTGTTTGGTTTGTGGGCTGAACTGGGGATCCTGCCCATGTGTGGACCTACTTTGGCATGGATTTTCCTATGCTCCTTCTAATGTGGAACGCCACCCCACTCTGAACTATTTTGTAGCACTGATTCTAAAGCTGTCTGATGATCAGCTGTTGAGACCCAAATGCCATTGCTGAGCCTCAGCTACGCAAGTACGGAATTCAGAATTAAGCCAAGAACTTCAAAGAGAAACAGAAATGATTCAAGAGAGAGGAGGGGGATGCACACTCATCATAAACCCATGAAATCAATGGTAACTACACAGGCACAGGGTCTCAGGCAGGTTCTAGCAAACAGCAATGTTGCTCCCGCAACCTGGGGCGGGGTCCAACAGCCTTTTATCTTTGTCGGGGTAACGGCAGTCCTGATCCCCCGGTGACTCACCTCCCTGTCTCGCCTAAAGGCAAGCACTCCTCCTGCAAGTACTCAGGTCTGTCCTTCACCCAGACCTTAGTCTCTGCAGCTCATGAGATGTTGGTGGGTTACTAGACCCAGAGGCCGCCTCAGCCTCTCCTGACCCAGTTGGTAGTGGAACAGCTGTAAGTGATTGCCCAGCTGAAGACAACAAGGTAATCCCCGCATCTGGAGCCAGGGCAGGCTCAGGCCCCTGATTCAGCCCAGCTGGTGCTTGTTGCAGGGGAACCTGTGCAGACTGGGGCTCTTCCGAATCAGGCCCCAGACTTGGTCCAGATGCCGCCTGAGGCAAAGGATCCGGTGTGGACTGAGAATCCTCTGGTTCCGAGTCCGAGCCTGAGTCCCAGGCCATTACACCAGCATCCTGTTCTCGCAGTGGTCAATGAGATGCCCATGGGACACCTGTCATCAGAACCTGAGCACCACAACACTTTCCACACCACCAATTCTCAGCAAGTGGTATTTAGAAGTGCACTGCCTGTGACAGCAAGACATAAGCAGTCATGGCTAGTAGCTGTGGATAGTCTTATGAATTTGTCCAATCCTCTTCTAAAGCCATCCTATCTGGTGGTTATCACTGCCTCTTGTGGAAATGAACTCCATGGTTCAACTGTGTGATTTAGTTCAAATTTGTATAGGTACCTGGAAAGTACTAAATAAATTGATTAGAACTGAAGGGTTGGACTAGGGAGAGAAAGGGGGGGAAAGGGGACTTTCTGGAACTCAGAAGCTAGATATTTAAAGGTCTCCTTCCTGTGGGGGGGGGATTGGGGGCACCCCCTTCCTTGTGCCACTTCCTCCTTAAGAAGGAAGACATCTGTCTCTCTGAGGCAGAGACACATTCAGGAAAATGAAGCTCATAATACCTTCTACTACTAGCCTAACCAAGACTTTACCTCCCTTCTGACCAGGGTGCTTCCAGGGTTACCTAAGAACAGGGTCATTTCAGCGCATTTCATTTCACCATTTGAGGCAAAATGGGTAGTGCCACCTTGCCCTGCTGCTGCCACTGCCTGCATCACTGATTTCCAGTAAAATCTTGCAAGATCTCACCAATGTTAGTTCCACTTCTCCACCCCATGGAGGGCAGGAGTGCCTTGGGACTTCTGCCGCCTGAGGCATGGGCTTCACCTCACCTAATGGCTGGGTCGGCCCTGCCCAAGAACATTGTCAGGAGGGAGACCAACCTGCTGCCAATCGCAGTCTGCTTGGTAGGAAAACACAGCTGACATTGTCTGAGGATCAGGTATTGTAAAGGTGATGACATCCAAACATTCAACAATTCCTGATAACTTCAGAAAACCCCATTTCAAGCCTAACTGATAACCATCAGTGGGCAGGAACGCAGCAAGAGAAAGAGAGACAGAGAGAGGGAAAGAAGTTAAGAGGGTATTTGTGAGCTACAAATAGAACGAGAAGTTATAAACCTTTCAAAAAAAGGAGATTTATAATGGAAACTTTGACAAACATAACTATTCTGGCTGTCTTGGCCAGGCACCGTTGTAATCTGCAGCATCTTTCAAATCAGTTGGAGCCATATCTGCTAAAAATATGTTCAGAAGTAGGGAAAAAGATATTGTTAAGAGAGAGACAGGTGCTGTTGGGAAACAAAACTCGAAATGGGTCACACCCTTGGTTTAATTTAAGGCATTCCCATGGCCATTCATAAATTCAGTGTATTCCTACAGCCCTTTGGAAGGAACCTATGCATTCCAGTGGTGATTTGCACTGTCTATATTCAGAAGTCTCACTGAGTTGAATGGGACATTCTCCCAGGAAAGTATTATAGGATTGCAACCTCTTTTTTCTTCTTCAGCATCTTGCCTTCAAAAAGCCATGCCTACTCTTACCCAATCTTTTGCTCTTTTCTTCAAGATTCTGCTAGGCTGAAAATTGATATCAT